TGGATCGGGTGGGCGGTCCCTATTTTGGGGTCCCAGTGGGTTGGGACTCATCGATGTTTCTGCCCCTTTGTAGCATTAAGATTTTTAATTAATATAAATTAGTTTAGTTTGCTTCGGTTGTGGGGGGGGAACGGAGCCGAGAGATGTAGATAGGTGTGCTAATTTTTCTCTGTTGTGAAAAAAGGTCGAACCCTAAATGCCACAGAAGAACAGAAATAAAAGGAGATAAATTGGTTAATGTGAAAGATTCCCCCAGCTGTAAAGTTGATATATTGACCCCGATTAACTGAAAAGCGTTAACGAAATGCAGGGGACGCTTCCTCGCCCCAATCCAAGCAAAAACGTAGCTATGAATTTAGGGATGTTTAATTCTGTGTTTTAGCCCTAACGGCTCCCCAAACTAATATACGATGCACAATACAAAGACTTGAAACCCTAGAAATTGGGGCAGAGAAGCTAAAATTAAGTCCAGGAGAAGCTACATTTTGCAAAGCTTCCAGGGATAAACAAAGCAGTCCTTGCTTGCAAATTTATAAAGTAAAGGCCAACAGCATTCAAGGAAGAAGAGGTGAGGAGGGAAGAGGAAAAAAACAAAGAAACTCAGTTCATAAATGGTGTAGAGGTTTTGAAAGCGATCGAAACCGATTTGTTGGAATCTTTTTTTTTTCCCGCTGTTCCTCTTAGAATGGCGATTACAACAAGCCAATCCCAGCTCAATACATGGAGAATCTAAACCACGTCATTTCTGGGGCAGGGGCCTTCTACGATCCCACCAAGCCTCAGCAGTGGGTCAGCAGCCAAGTTCTCCTTTGTAAGAAGTGTAACAACCACCAGACGATGAAGATCAAGCAACTGGCGTCCTTCACGCCCCGTGAAGAGGTAGGGAGGGGGCCCCGAGGGAGAGCGAACGAAAATCCCTTCCCCTGCCTGGCTTTGCTCCTGGCCTTTACGAATTCTGTTCCTTCACGGTTAAAAAGCTGTTTCAAATTAACTACCTCTGATAAGAACGAGCCTTGCCAAGGTGGTACAAGGCTGCCAAGAACACTAGATAAAGTTACTAAGAAATATTCCAAACTCAAAAAGTTTCCAAACACAAACTAAGAGAATCCAAACGTCCACAAGGCTTGAGTGCAAAAACGTCTTTGCTTCCTGCAAAGAACTCCGGTTTCTCAGCTGGCTTTTATCTCTTAAGGGAGGGGCCTTTACTTTGCAGCCTTACTCCAGAGTTGCCTGTGCTGCTGCAGCTGCTCTGTCCTTCGAGCAGCCCTGCACGCACGCACACTGGGCCCAGGCTCCTCGGGGGCCTCTTCCTCACTGCTGCCGGTCTCCACAAGCTCTGAAGGCAGCACTCCACTCCCTGATGGTCCTGGCCCCATCCCTGCATCCCACGCAGGCCCCTCACCTGAGTCCTCGCTCCCCGAGACCTCAGCTGTCCTCACCTGCTGCCGGCAAACCACAACATAAACAGGCCCTATCAAGTTTTTAATTCTAGTTTATCTTTTTTGGGGTGGGGAGCAGGGCAAATATGATGAAGAAATCGAAGTATACAAACACCACTTGGAGCAGACCTACAAACTCTGCCGGCCGTGCCAAGCCGCCGTCGAATATTATATCAAGCATCAGAACCGCCAGCTTCGAGCTCTTCTCCTCCGGCACCATTTCAACAACCGGAAAAGCGACAAGACTTACATGCAGGTAGGAAGGGCTGCGTGCCAAATATTTTATACCTTTCTTCTCTTTATATAAAAGGTGAAATAGCCCTCACGCATCATCACAAAATCTCCAGAACTGTAAAGCCTACAAACTTGAAATTCGACACGTATGTTCCTCCAAATCTTGGCTTCTAGGTGCTCACTAAGAAAGGATTTTTCGAAATGACCCACAGAGCATTAGTATTCCTTATATTATTATTATTATTATTATTATTATTATTATTATTATTATTATTA